AATTAATTCTTTTTAAAAAATTCTTTACAAATCTTGAAAATATGTATTTTTTCCCCCTTCCAAACTTTTCACTCAAACACAGATTATAATCCAACACTGATGTTTTCAGCTTGTTTGAATATGCAAATCCAGGGTGTCACACGCAAGCAAATGCTTGGAGTTTTGGGTGGGTAAGACAAACACACCTGTTCCAGCAATTTATGCATTTTACATTATCCTTTAAAAATAAAAAAGCTGCCCTTGCCTTTCCCTTCCTTACTGGCTTGGATTTCAACCCACAACAGGTTTTATTTTAAAAAATCTCCACTGAGGTGTGTACAAATGATATATTCATTAAGTTGTGATGTCCCTGGTGAACCCCTCTGGTTGGAAAGCTGTGTCAGGATGGGTTGGGGTTGGATCTCCTCCTCCTTCCACCTCCCAGCTGCAACAGATTTCAGGATAACTCAGGAACTGAGGTCTAAACAAAGTTTTTGGTCTCATCTGACCAAACCTGGCCTAATTCTGGTTATTCCTCGTAGCAGGAATAACTAGATTTAATAAACCAGCCTAACTCTGGTCATTCCTTGTAACAGGAATAACCAGATTTACTAAACCAGCCTTATTCTGGTTATTCCTTGTATGCAGCAGCAGGAGGGAGGTAAATCAGGGAAATCCTGCTCCCTCCTGCTGCTGGAGATGTGGTGGCTGCTTGGGAAGCAAGAGGAAAGTTGTAAGCTCCTGCTTTCCAGGATTTTTTATTTTGCTCATTTTCTGTCAAGATATCCCGTAAAAATTTCCTTACAAATATCCTGCTGTGTACAAAGTTCATTTGATATGCAAATCAGCTCATTAATTAGGCATGCAAGGTGCCTCCTGGCTGTGCCTGGGGCTCTAAATAAAGAACACACCAAACCAGAGCACCTTGAGGTCACCACCTCAGACATCTCCTGGTTACTGAGATTTGAGACAAACCCGGCTGCTGCTGCTGCTGCTGCTGCCCAGGTCTCACCCACTCCACGATCCTGCTTCCACTGAGCTCATTAGCAGAGTTTCATTGATGGGGAATAGGAAAGGATGGATTTCTGTAGCTGAGCAGCACGGGATCTTTATGGCAGGACTGCATCTCACCCCAGGGCACAGAGGTTACCCAGAGAAATAACTCTGGGTTATTTCTCTGCTCTTTTTGAAGCCTTTTAATATTCTGAAACGGGGCAGCGGCTGTTGCATCTGGGAGGGTGAATGTCACCTCTGAGAAAAGTTCCCTGGATTTCTGTGGGGTCCTTCCCATGCACTCACAGAATTCAAGACAACCCAGAAAACCATTTTTCCCCCTGCCTTTTTCCCACATTGATACTTGCACTGCCTTCACTTCTGCTGGAAAGGTGGAAGCAGATCAAAAGTTGTTCTTTTTCTCTGTTGACACCTAAAGCAAGAGAGCTGTGGTTGCTGCAGGTGATTCAGGATTCTCTGCGATGGAAACAGAGGGAATTCCATCCTGCCTTCTGCAGGAGGGTCTGGCAAGAGATGCCAGTGCTCTAATAAAAACCCCTCAGCTGACAGAAAAAAAAGAGAAGGAAAGCTTCAAAGGAAAAATAAAGTGAACAGAAGCATGGAGCAGCTCAAATTCACACTCTGCATTTCAAAATTATAACTTGAAGGATTCCTGTCTGCAGATTTGGGGGAAGCAGTGGCACAGCTGGAGAAGGGAAGCAAATAATTCCATGGGAGAAGGCAGAATGTCCCAACTTCTCCCTTCAGAGACTGTGCTGGTGCAGATTTGGGCTCCTGAGGCTCATGGGGTCCTTGGGCTCCCTTTTCCCTCTGTTCCTGGCCTATCCCAGCTCTGATCCCTGGTGGGAACTGGGGTCTGGGGGTGGCAGTGGGACACAGAGGATGTGGATCCCCCCATGGCTCTTCTTCTCCACATTCTGGGCACAGTCACTCCTGTCAGCAAGAAACCAAAAGGATTAAAAGCAATTAGGGAAGCCCTGATTTATCCTAATTAGAGCCAATACTGGAGCTCTATTAAAACATTTATCTTCAATTCTCCAAGGCTTTCTCCCAGTGCTCTCTGGAGTTCATTTCTGCCCTCCTCAGCCCTCCCTCCTTGCAGGGACAGCAGGCTGTGATCTCAGGACCCTGCTGGCTCTGGTATTTACCTTCAGAGCTGTAACATTTCCACGCAGTTGGAGCGTGCTGGCATTTACTGCTGGCTCATTAAGTGCTGTGATGAAATCCTGCTGCAACCCCTGCCCTGGGTGTTTAACAGGTCTGGGCTGCCAGGACTGCAGGGCCTGTGATGCTTTAGGATTTTAACTTTTATATTTTCATCTACTTGTAATCCTGCAATTCTTTGTATAACTCTAAACTCCGTGTACAGTGTGAGCTGCTGCTTTCCCATTTTGGGCAGACACAACAATTCCTCTCCAGGCCTGGCAATCAAGGACACCTCACTGCCTCAGGCCTGAGAGATGGAAACAAAAGTGAATTGGGGGAGAAAACTTGGGGTAAATGACTTCATTGGCTGAAGCTGTAATTGGAAGGTGAACCCCCAACATGCAAATGGACCAAACTTATAAAAGTGTCAAAACCTGTGACCCCTTGTCCATTTTGGGTGGGCTTTGTCTGCCCTAAATGTACCTGAAGACCCTTCAATAAATAGAACTGCTTTTTATTCCCTTAATTCTGCCTGGCCTCTGTTTTTAGGTAGCCCAAAAGGCATCACCTGTTCCCCGACATTGTATCTGACAGATTTTCTGTCGAATTAACTCCAGGTATGCACTGACTAAACATCTTCAGAACCTCTGGACAAAAAGACTGTGTGAGATTCATGAATCCATGCAAATCAGAAGGAGATCTGTCAGCCCAGCTCCCCCAGGAATCCCTGGAGCTCAGCATGTTGTGACAGCTCTGGCTGAGGCAGAGGCGTAGCTTTCCGTGCGGATAATGAGAGCTCTTTCATCCCCAGTGGCCTTCCCAGGGAGCCATCCTCCTGCTCAGAGCTGTGCTCTCACCGGCAGAAATGGAACCACTGGGAGAGAGCAGGGAAAAGGAATGGGAGCAGCATTGGAATGTCTTGTCCCTCCTTTTTGTCCTCTGCAGGAATCGTGCTGCGCCGCCCCATTGATGCTGTGGAGGGGCACTTAGAACAGAGGTTGGACAGAGTTAGAGAATAAAATAGGTTTTTATTAAAGGCCTTCAATAACTACACCTTGGGCAGTGCAAAGCCTTGCAGAGGTGAGAATTTGAGAATTTGAGAGGCTTTGAGAATTTTCTATAAATTCATTTCCTACAGAGGCTACACCCAAGATGGACGATGGTCACCAGTTTTTGGGGCAGACATAAGTTTGGTCTATTTGCATATCAGTTAATTGTCCAATTACAGCTTCAGTAACGAGGTCACATTCCCCCACTTTGCTCCCCCCCAGGTTCATTTTTGTTAATATTTTTTGGGGTCTGAGGTCCTTGTGTGTCAGGCCTGAAGGATTGTTCTGCCTGTCCAAACTGTGAGGAGAGCTCACTAACTCTCTGTATGGAGTTCAGAGTCCTGCACTAATGCAGCACAGGAGCTGAAAAATACAAAAGCTAAAACTAAAAAAAAGTTTTAGCTAAAACTAAAAATAGTTTAGCTAAAAAGTTTTAGCTAAAAGCTAAAACTTAAGGCGTCACCATCAGTGACAATGTCACTGCTCCAGAAAGAATTAAACACTCCTTGTGTTGTGTCCTGTGTTTTCACACTTGGATGTTTTGCTACACATTAAAACCATTGGCATGTGTTTGAGGTGTTTAATTAATTAATTAATAAACGAATTAATCCGGTAGTGCTTGAAAGCCTCACACTCTCCAAGGCTGGCAGGTTTCTTTCCATGGATATTTTCATGTCACTGGATTGGTTTGGATGGTGGTGGGTGCTCAAGGGGAACCTGCCCAGCATTTTCACAGGTGACTTTATCTACTCTAAAGGCTGGCGGAGTTTTGCTGACACCCAGCTCATCATCCAAGGAAATGTCTGTGGATGAGCATTTGGGATCTGCTTCCTGCTGCTCACCCCCTCCTGCTCTGCCCCCAGCACAGGAAGGACATGGGGAGGGTCCAGAGGGATGGATAGCCTCTCCTGTGGGGAAAGGCTGAGAGCTGGCTCCTGGATGCTTTTATTGCAGCATTCCAGGGCCTAAAGGGACTCCAGGAGAGCTGGGGGGACTGGGGACAAGGGATGGAGGATGACAGGACAAGGGAATGGCTTTAAACTAACAGAGGGCAGGGTTAGGAGGGATATTGGGAAGGAATTCCTGGCTGGGAGGGCGGGCAGGCCCTGGCACAGGGTGCCCAGAGCAGCTGTGGCTGCCCCTGGATCCCTGGCAGTGCCCAAGGCCAGGCTGGACAGGGCTGGGAGCAGCCTGGGACAGTGGAAGGTGTCCCTGCCAATGCAGGAGGTAAAACAAGATCACCTTTAATGTCCCTTCCAACCCAAACCATTCTGTGACTATTTCCAGCAGTGCTGTGAGAGCCCACGAGTTACCCAGAAAGGAGCCCGGCACTGTGTGATTTGTGCCAAAAACCACCCACATTCCACCCCAACCCCTGCCTGCCCCCAGCACGAGACACACTCAGTTCCAGCCCGGGAGATTGTGTCTCTGATAGGAGATGACCACATTCTTTCCTTGAAATTTGTCTCCTCCACGTACCAAAACCCATTAACAAATAGCCATAATCTGTGCCCTGGGGAGCAGAGCAGGCTGCTTTTCTTTTTCTTGGCTGGCTCAGTTCGTGCTGGAGTTGTGGGACTTTTCATCTGTGTGCTCAGAGGAGCAGAGTAAAAGTAGGATGATAAATTGTGGAAAAAGAACTCGCTGGCTTTGCTCAGAACCTCCGGCCTGCAGCTCCTCCTCTCGCTGTACTCCTTCCAGCGCCCCAGAATTCCCTGCCTCCCTGCATGTTATGGCACCTTTGGGATGTGTTAGTCATAAGAATGAAGCTACTGGTGCTTTGCAGGAATATTTTCACTCTGGCTCTGGCAGGAGAGCTCTGACACAGCCCTGCTGTCGGCACGGCCGGGGAGCGTGCGCTCGCTGATGCCTCCCGAGATCCCAGCCCGCTCCAAAAAAAGGGGAAAACGGCCAATTTTTATTTCCTCAGGTATGCTGGAGGTCCTTCTGCTGTTCTTTGGTGGTGGTGAGGGCTTTGGGCTGTGGGCTGGAGGTGGGATGGAGGCAGGAGTGGTGGCTCAAGGGGAGCTTTGCGCTGTCGTGTCCAGCCCCTGTTCGGTCCTTTCTCCTCTGAGCAGAGGCTGGGGGGACTTTGCTTCTCTCTCTCGAGCCCCTGAAGGTTCTTTCCTGCCCTGGGAAAATTCACATTCGTCCTTTCAGCCTGGGGATCCTCCTTGGCACTGGGGATGCTCCATGGGATTCCTTTCCCCGGGACTCAGAGCCCTCCAGGGGCTGTGCAAAGGCAGCTCCAGATTTGCACCAAATCGCCTCTAATGGTGCCCCGTGTGCCCAGACCCGTCCTGGGCTTGGGCTGAGCCTAAATTAGCTTTCTTTGAGCTCACTTGGGTCTGTAACTGCAGATAATTAACTTCTCCTTGCAGGGCAGCTGATAAGTGGCAGCTTCCCTGACTTTATGGACATTTGCCCCTGGGGGCAGGAGTGCTGTCAGGCTCTTTTCATCTCAAAGGGGCCAATCTGGAGCCATTTCAGCAAATATTCCAAAAGTGAGGGCAAACCCAACCCTCAGACTGTCTGCTTTTGCATATAAGTGTAGAATTCCTGGTTTATCCCAGCAGGTTTAGTGGCAGCCCTGGTTTGGAAAATTTTCCCTGGGCATTTTAGGCCCAGTTCAGTAACAAGCAATGACTGGTCAAAAATTATCTGATATTATTATAAAATATTTTCCACCCGGCTTTTTATCAAGCAGCTCATCAACAGGTCAGGAAGACTTAAAATCCCAAAGGATTTAAATTAAAATATTCAGGTATTATAGGTATATTCAGACCTTTCATGCTCAGAGTGATTTCCTAAAATTTTTCACAAGACCATGTGCATATTATGGATATGATGGAAAAAAGGGGACAAAAATTGTGTGAAGGAAAACTTTTTCATCCTCTCCACGTTAAATATTCTCCATTCAGGTATTAGAGGTATATTCAGACCTTTCATGAGTGATTTCCTAATATTTTTCACATGACCGTGTGCATATTATGGATATGATGGAAAAAGGGGACAGAAATTGTGTGAAGGAAAACTTTTTCATCCTCTCCATGTTAAATATTCTCACACTGAAAAGGCTGTGGCACAGAGAACAAGCTTTTAAGTATTTCTCTCCTTCAGACAGAGAACTGGGGGACAAAAATACATTAAGTGCAGCAGTTAGAAAAGGTTTTGGTGAATGAAATATCATTTTTTTGTTTTTGCCCTTAGGGAACAATGAGAAAATTTCTCTTTCTGAGCCTATCTCCTTCTGAAACGAGCTCCAGGAGTGGTCACAACCTGCCATAAAAACGCCATGTGCAAGAGAATATATTTAATATCAGGCAAGCAGAATGGAACGATACGATCTGTTTGGGGTTTGAAGGTAAATGTTTAGACTTTTTTTCCCTTTGAAATAATCTGGGAGAGATGCTGGTTGGCTCAGTGGGAAATGAAATCATGGAGGATTTATGCCATTAATGACAGGCTATGATGTCAAAGACATTTGGCCCGTGGCCATAACCTTTTGTGTGGCTCTGCTTGACTCTTATAAATAAACAGCCCCACTCAGCTGCTGCCTGCAGAGGAGTCCCCAGCACTTGGGAGCCCTGAAAAGCAGCACTTAAAAAAAAAAATTGAGGTAAAAGATCGAGGGGAAGGAGCTTTCTGCCCTCAGCATCTCTGGGTTCTGCAGCAGGGCCTGCGTAATGTTTAAAGCAACAACACCAAAGCTGATCTGGCTTTCTGAAACTCTGCTGGCTCCTGTTGCTTTGTAAATCATCAAAAACCCAGGCACGTGGTCAATGGTGTCCATCACCACGGGGTTTGCTCCTTCTGTCCCGTTTGTGGTACAAAAAAGCAGATTTTGATTGGGTTTTAGAGTCACTCCAGTGGCACCCGAGCTCAGCACGGGTGGGAGAGGTGCCAGGGCAGTGCCCAGGCAGGAGAGGTGCAAATGCCACTGCAGAGAAACAGGGAATTCCTGACACCTGTGCCCCTCTCCTGTCCCCTCGAGGCCCCCACAGCCATAATTCCCATCACAGCTGGGCAGGTCATGCCCAGGACTTGCCTGCAGCCATTTCAGCTCCCTGCTGTCATTATTTGGGTCATTTTTCTCTTCCCACCGAGCCGTTTTCCTCTGGGGTTTTGTCCCTGGGGGTTGTGTTGCTGATGGTTCTCCAGGTGCCAGTCCCTCAGCTGGGTCTCTGAATGATTGCCACCCCTTTGAATGCCACCCTGGAAGGATGCAGGGCCTTTGGTGGCCACAACTAGCAGCATCCTGGAGGCCAGGGGGTCTGTGAAGGTCTGAGCTGAGCTCTGTGCCCTGCAGGGTTTTGGTTCCTAAACCCCTGGTGGTTCCAGCAGATCCCACCTGTGCTGTGGGACCCAGCTCCAGTGCAGCCCTGGGGTTTGGGGGAGCACCTGGCAGGACTGAGCAGCTCCCAGGGCCACAGGGCTGGCCTGGAAGTGGCTCAGGACTGCTGGGACAGCTCTGCACAAAGCCAGGGAGCCAGAGGGGCAAGACCAGCCTGAAGGTTGTGCCAGAGCTCAGCCACAGCCACTGACTGCCACCAGGACTTCAAACATTTTCCCTTCTCCCCTTTCTTCCACTGAACAAAGCAAAGAAAAACATCAAGAAGGCAGAAAATGCTTTATTTGGGCTCTGGGCATCCTCAGGAGTAGCCAAAATTCAATCCCTTCTGTCACCTGAGGGCTGCAAACCTCCCCAGGGAAACCCACAGAACCATGGAATGGTTAGGGGTGGAAGGGACCTTAAAGCTCATCCATTCAAGTGCATCCCCTGATTTAGGATCTGTTTTTTTTTCCCTTGGGGTGCAAGGGACCTTAAAGCTCATCCATTCAAGTGCATCCCCTGATTTAGGATCTGTTTTCCCTTTGGAAAAGGGAAAGAACCTTAAAAGTGGAAGGGACCTTAAAGTTCATTCATTAAAGTTCATCCCCTGATTTAGGGTCTGGTTTATTTCCCTTTTCCTTTTCTCCTGGTACCTCTTTTCCATCCCTTTCTTGTCTCTGACCACAGACAGTTGCACTTTGAGTCTTTAATGTCACGGAGTGACTTTGGCACAGCTCCCAGGCTCTGTCTGGGGCTCAGAGGGTTCCAACCAAGAGCCTGGACCAGGAATGGGTCAGGTCCCTTTGTCCTGGCCAGGAGCACACTGCCCTGCCAGGTGTCCTGTTAACATTCTGCTCTTAATTAGCTGACACCACTAATTAGCACCAATGTGCAAAACGTAGCAGAATATTGAGCAGAAAACTTCTCGATTTGGGCAGATTTGTACCCTGTGAATACTATTTCTTTTTAATTTCAAGACCCTTCAGCAGAAACATCTTCTCCCCCAGGAGTGGAGCCTCCTGGGCAGGGCTGCAGGGCAGAATAAGAAAAGAACTTTAACCCGTGCTGTAAAGCATTTATTAATATTGAATAAGCCCCTGCCTTCTTTCAACACAAATAAAATATTACTGCTCTCCAAGATGAAATATGCTGAAATGGAGCAAAGATTTCTATTTTTCCAAAACAAACAGTCTTCAAGTGAGGTCTTTTTGCAATTATTTTAGAGATCTTTTTGTGGATTGGACGGGGGCCTAAAAATAATGTAGATTTGAAGCTCTGACAGCACCAATAATTACAGTGCTGTAACTCAGCTCAAGCACCCCACTTTTCTTCTGGGTATCAGGGCTCCCTTTTTCTCCTTGATGTTTAGAGCATTTTAATGTATTCTGGTTGAACATTTAAACCTCAATCACCAGCTCCTCTGGAAAAAAACACTCTTGTATTTTTAGGACTGGGAAAGGACAGAGGGAACTTGTTTCTCCCTATTAAAGCTGTAATAAGTGTCTCTACTAATCAAGGAGGGAGGGAGGGGAAGAAAGAGGATAATGTGGCAGTTTTAGTGATCCAATTGTGTCACAAAACAAGAATGTGAAGAGTGAAACACAACCACCAAATATCAGACATAATGCCAGCACTGGAGGTGCCAGAGCTGCTCTGTCCTGGGGCAGGTGGATGCAAGGTCCCAACTCAACCTCCAGCCTGGCAGAGCCAGCCCTGGTCCCTTTTTGGACCTGAATCAGCCCTCAGCAGCATCCATGACCAGCACTGGTGCTCTCTGCAGCAGAACTTCCAGAGAAGGTGTGCCTGCCCCATCCCTGGAATGTCCAAGGCCAGGTTTGGAGCATCCTGAGATTGTGGAAGGTGTCCCAAGGGTGGGACTGGATGGGCTTTAAAGTCCTTTCCAACCCAAACTGCTCCGCGATTCTATGGTTTCCATCTGTGGTTTTATCTCCCATCCCTCCCTGCCGTGGGAGATGGAATCCCATGTGCCAGGGAAGCAGCAGAGAGCAGCCAGGGCTGTTTGCTGCACCTTTGGTTGCAGTTCAGCATTGCTCCTGTAGAAATTAAGATGTAATCTTGGTCGTTTGATTAATTCTGGATTAATTTTTGAGGATGTTTTGAGGCTCCTCTAATGAGAGGCTCATCCTGAGACAGGAGGGGCGAGGCGTTGGTGAATGCAAGGGAATGTTGGATTATTTCCACTGCTCTGTGCCACAGATTGGAAGGGGAAAATAAATACCCTGGTAGCTGAGATAATCCTGGTGGAACAATCCTGTAATATCTGCTGAAAGCTGCGTGCACCACTGGATTGGGAACTTCCAAATGGGAACATTTCCAGTGTGTGCAGTGTCTGGCCCCTGATTTAAATTCCCTTAATTCTACCCTTGAAGCTTCTAGTCTTTTACACTTAAAAAGGCAGAAATGCTTATTATTTGTGCTTGGGAAAGGAGACAAGACGTTTGAGTCTCAAAATGTGCTTTTTTTTTCCTTTTTCTTTCCTTCAGAAAAATGTAATTGCACACAAACCCCTCTAAACAATTCTCCTCGGCCGCCTGAAGAGTCCCTTGGCTGAATTGTAAATCACTATAGAGTGCACCAAAAAAAAAAAAAAAAAAAAATAGCAAGATCAGGGCATAAATGAGGTTTGGAGCTGTCTAGTCTGGGGTTCTGTGAGGTAATTAAATCAAGGAGACTTTCTGATCTATAGAAGGGTCAATGCAGCAGGGCAGTGCTTTGAACCATGGGCTCATTAAGGCACAATTGCCTTCTTTGCTGCCCGGATTGTTTATAACAGAGGCTTATTTTGGAGCAGTCAATAACTGGAGAGCATAAATCACAGGGCAGAAAGAGTTATTCCCACTTCATGGGCCAGATCCTCAGCTGGTATAAATCCCTGCTGCCCCAGTGATGCCACCTCAGTGCTCTATTTACACAATCCCAAATGCTGGCTCACGCTGCTCCCATTGGATTGGGTTTATTTTCATTCTGTGGGCACAGATTTTCATGGATGGAGTGAAGGTGGGGATCACTGGGGTAGGTAAAAATTAATTTGGTCAAGTTTGAATGGTTCTCTCCTTCCCTGCTCTCTTCATTTTATGAAAAAAGGAGTTACCCTGTGAATTTGTGTCAGCTCAGAACCATTTCCCTGAATCCCATTGAGGTCTCTTGGAACATTCCCTTTCTCTAAATATTTCTGTTGAGCTTTGGATGATTTAATGGTGGTGGTGGTTCTAGATTTTAATCAAATTCAGAAAGGACATCCACGGGCTGGGCACTGACAGGGCAGTGATGGCAGCACGCCCCACGTCCATCATTCTTCAGAGGGATGTGCCCAGCAATTTTGGGAATGTCTAAGTCTGGCTTTCCATGTGATTTCAGCCCCAGCTCTGCTCCTTGGGAACCCTCCTGTTCCCCAGTGTAGGGTTGGGTTCAGCCAGATCACAGGTGGATTTCCAAAATCTCCTTCAAAAGCTGAAGCTAAATCTCTGTAAATGTTCTCTAAAACTGAAAAAGAATCTCCGAAAACCTCCCCAAAAGCTGAAGATCAGCTCCAGAGCTGGAGATTTTGGTTCATCACTGGAGTGATTGGCTGGTGGTGATGTGTCCAGCAATTTTGGGAATGTCTAAGTCTGTGATTTCCATGTGATTTCCATGTGATTGGTGGCTCCGGTTCTGACTCTGCTCCTTGGGAACCTTCCTGTTCCCCTGTGTAGGGTAAGGCTCATCCAGATCACAGAGATTTCCAAAATCACAGAGATTTCCAAAATTCTTCCTCAAAGCTGAAAATAAATCTCAAGAAATCTCTTTGAAAACTGAAGATGACTCTCCAAAATCCTCTTCCAAAGCTGAAGATCAGCTCCAGCTCCATCTCCAACCACCTGAGTGATGGGCTGGTGTCGGAAGTGCCTGGAAAACCTCTTCCCACAGCCAAGGTGAGCCCAAAACCTGCTTTAAACCCCTGCTTTGACCCCCTGCACCAGCACTGTCAAACATCCCCTGGCCCAAGCACTGAGCCAGCCCAGCTTTGCTCCCTCAGTCCCACCTCACCCTTTAACCAGACCTCATTACCAATAACTAATTAAACAAAATCTCTTTCCCAGCGTTGTTCCCATGCTGGCTGGGAGCAGAGCTGGCAGTGTGAAGTCATTTTTGTGCCCTGTGTCATCATGCTGATGTCAGGGCTGCTGTCAGCACTGTCAGGGTGGTGTTTATGAAGCTGGAGATCGATATTAAATACTGGATTTAGGATCCATTGGCACAGCTGCAGCTCGGACTGCCTTTGACCTTCTTTGGCTGACAGGGAGCCAGAGGGGTTTTTCCATGGCATTAAGTTAAAGGAGTTTCCACTGCCCAGCTTTCTCCTCTCCCTCCACCATATCACAGTCCCAGCTCTTACTGGGAATCATAAAAAAAGATTTCTCAGAGGAAATAATAAAAATTTATGGAAGAAATCTCCAGAGAGCAAAACATCAAACCAGCAAAGAGACAGAACATGAGGGAACAGCCAAGGAATAATGTGAAAAATTGATGAGCAGAGCTGCAGATACTGGAAAACAATAAACAAGCAGAATCTGCTTAACCAGGGATGATTGTAATGTTATTTCTCTGGGTTGAAAACACTGAGTTTTATATCCATCCAGGATTTTGGCACTCACACAATGGTGTGTCCAGGCATTTCAGCTCTCTACTGCTCTCTTTGAGACATACACAAATTATGTCCTCTGGTTTTTCCATGAAAAATTACCGGCATTTTATTCCAAGCTGTTTCACAAATCAAAGCTGTCACTGCAGCGAGGGTGAAACATTCGCCGGCTCTCATCGCTGTCCTCCTCCCCCTGCTCTCAGGGGAGGGAAGAACATATGTGTTTGAGAACAAATAATCATCACTGCTTGGATTTAAATACCATTCTCTGGCAGAATAAACCTGTACCTGTGAGGAAAAGCAGAGGGGAGAGGATCTGCAGGAGCAGGGAACTGCATATCAGGACAAACATTTGTATCCCAGCCCCAGGAGGCTTCTCCTCCTTTCCCTCTGCTTCTCCTGCAGCCCTCTGTCCATATTCCAAACTCAGTTGGAATGGGCAGGACAGGACAGATTTTATTCCCCACTGTGTTTAAGATGACATCTAAACTTCATCTCAAGTGATGCTCCACATCATAAAACCTCCAGAAATGCAGATTTGGTTCTCTAAGCAAACT